AAATAAATAAAATCTTTAAAAAAAATAATAAAAATCTGAAATCACTGTACATAGCCATATACTAGATGTCATACCATTTTTTTATTTGTCTTTTTTTGTGCTAAAGTTGGATAACACACATTTGCAGAACTCACATAAGTTCTTCTCCTAACTAGAAGTGTACCTTAAACGGGATAAACAGCTTCTTTATTTACTTTGAAAGGAACATCTAATGGGTACCCAGAATGGATCCAGCTGAATCTATTTCTGTAATTCCAGATGGAATTATTCATAACTGCTACAAAATTGAAAGATTTTACTTCATCTCTGAGGACAATATGATGGCAGGGAGAGTCTTATACTAGGAGTTAGGGTTGGCAAATACAGGAAGTCAGAGCTCACAACACCTGACACTTCTCGTACCATGCTACTTGACTGATACTTATAACAAGACTCTGGCATACAAGGAATGTTATTTCTTCATACAGCTGTAAACCAGTGGTTCTCAATGGGAGCCAGTTTTGCCTCCCAGGCCAGGGAACATTTGGCAGTGGCCACAGACATTGTTGGTTGTCTCATCTGGGGGGCTGCTACTGCTGTCTAGCACGCAGAGGCCTGGGATGCTGCTGAGCATCCTCCAGTGTACAGGACAGACAGCCCCTGCACCCCAGAAAGAACTGACCTGGCCTAAAATGTTAATAGTGCCCAGGGTGAGAAGTCTTGGTGTAAGGAAAGCCACAGCTTAGGGCTCTAGGGAAGTAGCTCAAATACAGTGTTTTTCCTCCTAGATTGTGTTCACTTGCTAATTCCTTATCTGTTTAATCCTATTACAGGAAAATTAAAATAGTTTTCCCTTTTTTGGATTAAAATGTGATATTTAATGTAAAATGTTGTAAAAGTCTCCTATTTGCCAATCTGAAAGCTCAGCTATGCTTTTAAAAGATTGTGTCAGTCTACATCAAGTCACTCTCCTCCTCTGTAGAAACTCTAGTAGCAAAAGGTGCAGAGATAATTTTTTATGTTTCCTTTTAGCATCAAAGGCAAAAAAACCATCTCAGTTTTCTGGGAAAATAACTGTTAAAGCAAAGGAAAAGAGTTATTCTAAACTCGAAATACCATATCAAGCAGAAGTTTTAGATGGGTGAGTTTCTCTTTAAAATAAGCTTTATAACTTTTCACTAATCAGTAAATTCTGTTTTCCTACTAATTGACCTTAGCAAAAGTAGTAACCAAATTTACATAAGCTCTATGGAACTTTTGTTGAAAAGATCAACTTCCACTTTATTGTTTTTACTTTTTTAGAAGAAAAAGATAAATGGGATGATATGATTTGGGCTTAAATGAAGTCTTAGTGATTCAGTAATACAGAAAAAGGAATCTATGATTTTTAAATAACATTTACATCATTGGAGCTATTTCCTTTCTGTAATTGGTTTTGTAACATACAAGTGGTTGTGGCTTGTTATTAAAGTATATTGTCACTTGAAACAAAATCATTTATCTTCCTTGATAAACTTGTAAACAGTGTTCTAGAATTACAACTTTTTATAAATGGGTAACAATATATGTAGTTCATTTTGGATTATACTTGAAACAATAATAGTTTAATATCCAACTTGGTAGGAACTCATTTAACAAAGCTGGTTGCAATTAAATGATAAACATGATTTTTTTTAAGTAGCTTAAAACTTTCTGTTAATACATTCTTGATTTTAATTGTTTGATTGCATGTAATTCAATAGAGAATAGTTCTTTATATTACATGTCGATATTTTGCAATCTAAGTTTTGTTTTAAATCATGTGCTCATGCTCTAAAATATTCATAGTTCTAATTCTCAAGTAACAGTCCTTAATGTTAAATGTAAAATTATTACAACAGAAGAACTTGGATTTTAAATTAATGCATAGAGATAAAAATGATTTATTTCATGTTTTTTTCAAATAGTTACTTGGGATTTGATCATGCTGCCACATTATTTCACATCCGAGACAGTCCTGCTGACCCTGTGGAAAGGCCAATTTACCTGACTAACACTTTCAGCTTTGCAATCCTCATTCATGATGTGTTACTACCAGAAGAAGCCAAAACAATGTTTAAAGTATGTCTGGGAACCTTCATACTTTTCATTTTACTGATCTACCAACTAGATGATGCTGACCCATTGTTTTTTTTCTCTCCCCTCATTTCCTAGGTTCACAACTTCAGCAAACCAGTCTTAATTCTTCCAAATGAATCAGGATACATTTTTACACTGTTTTTTATGCCCTCCACATCATCCATGCACATAGATAACAATATTTTACTTATTACCAATGCTTCTAAATTTCATTTACCTGTGCGGGTATATACAGGCTTTTTAGATGTAAGTATGTTGTACCTTTAAAATTTAAGTTCCCAGCCATCTTTTGTGTGTTCAGGTATTATTAGGCAATCATTTTGTACATGCTTCTGTACATGAGCTCTATAAGTTGCTCTAATCCCTCCTCTCAGTACTTTCAAGATAACTGGTTTTCATCCTTCCCAGTAGCCATCTCTTGTCGTGACACAGATGAATCCTTTTGTTACAGTTGGCACTTAGGTCTTTTCCATGTTGTGCTTTCTCTTGGTTTTACTTTTAAACTGTTACAATCATGGGGAAACTGAAAACAAACACTAAGTGGAGGAAAATAATAAGCAGGAAAAAATAATACAAGGAGGGCAAAGAAGAAACTAAGGAGGTGGTGACCAAAACCAGGAAATACAGCGTAAAGAAAAGAACCAAATAATAAAGAAGAGACTAAGGTGGTAAAAACACACAGTTGGAATAGCAGGAAAGAATAAAGGTCTTTCTAATATAGAAAATAAGCCAGGAGGAAAAAAAAAAAAATCCAAACTAAGCTATCCTTAGGATAATCAGTGAAAGAATTTTAGATAAAAAATAAAACTGATGAGAGATATGAAAGATAAAAAGAAAATTAGAACATATGGAGATGTAGTTCCCCAAAAAGCCAACATCAATAAGAATTTCAGAGCTGGAGGGACTTTTCAGTATTATCCCACTCCTTCTTCATTTGTTTTGCTTGAGTGATTATGTATTTTTGGCTGCTCTCATGAATACATAATGTTTACTGAGACCAAGGATTTTTTGCCTAATCCTCTGGGGTTTTACTTACCCTTCCCTAGTACTTTAGCTTCCTGCTTCTTTTATGTGCCTTCAGAGGAGAAATAGTTATTCCATAGAGACTATGAATGTCTTCATTTCTGATTACTGAAAATACTTCATTGTACAGAATTCTTAATTATATTTTATATATGTGTATATATGTGTATATTGACATAAAATATAGAAACCTTAGTATGTCCATACAGCTACTTTCTCTTGATACCCTGCTTTTATATAAGTGTGATTTAATGTTTAGTTCTTTTATATCTTTTCAGTACTTTGTATTACCCCCCAAAATAGAGGAACGTTTCATAGATTTTGGCATATTGAGTGCTACAGAAGCAAGCAATATTTTATTTGCAATTATAAACAGCAATCCAATTGAGGTAAAAAAAAAAATCTGTTTTTATTCTAAATCACGTTTAAGTGTTTTATGCTAGTGCTACAATAATCCCTTTCATATCTTTTTCTTTTTTTAAGTTGGCTATAAAAAGTTGGCACATCATAGGAGACGGTTTATCAATAGAACTCGTAGCTACTGAAAGAGGCAACAGAACTACAATAATTACAAGCCTTCCAGAATTAGAAAAATCCTCTTTATCAGACCAGTCATCAGTAAGTAAACTTTCTTATTGTTTCCTTAAACTTAGTTGTATGTCTAAACCCCAAATAAAAGTCTATTCCTACGACACATACTTGAACTAATATTTTTATGAGATTCATAATAGCATCAGTTATTTAACATTAAAAGGTTCTTGTGGGCAATCTACTTCAACTCCCTCCTTTTATGATGAGGGCACTTGAAACCCAAAGGAGTTAAGTTCTACCCTGTCATAAAAGGTTTTGTAACAAAGAAAATTAAATAATCTTTAAGTGTCATTACAAGAGAAATTCCCATTGGTACTAAACTAACCCTATGTTCATTGAATTTACTTGGCAAAAGAGATAGCCCTGCCCATTGGTAGAAAGTTTTCAATTATACAGAATATTTCTGGCCAGGTTTCTGTGAGACAAACCTTGTTTGATCCCTTTGTAGATATGCCCATGTACTTTTACTCTGTCTTATAAATACGTACATTTGGTCATAAAAGAGCATGAAATAAGAGAAAACAGATATATCAGTCAAAGCCCTTACCACTACTGGAAGTGGAACTTGGAATTTATACCAATTCAGAACAGAACTAGTAGAATTACCTTGTGTGAGAAGGGGCATAACATATCTCATCTGTAAGTTAAGGATAGAACTTCTTGTGGCAGTCTTACAAAAGAAGGAGAAAATGTCCTTATGCACAGAGATGGTTGACAGATATGCTTCCATGGACTGCCATAAGCTATAAAAATTTATTTAAATAGTTTGTGCCAGAAGAACCCTCCAGAATAATTTTGGAGGGCATTTTGGCAATATGTATCACTCCTGGGAATTCTTCCCATGGAAGTAATTTAAAGAGCTAAAAGCTCACTGGTAGAAAACTGTGCTGCCCAAGACAGTAGGAACTAATTAACATGTGGCTACTGAGCCCTTGAAATGTGGCTAGTCTCAGTTAAGATGTCTTGTGTCAAATACACACCAGATTTGAAGACTTAGTTTGGGACTGTAAGCTGTTAATAATAATATTAAAATATTGATAATGTTTTAATATTGATGACATGTTGAAATGTTACTAATTTGGATATATTAGGATAAATAAAAAGTATTAAAAATTTTTAAAAAGAGCTAAGAGCTGTGAAAATGAAGATGTTTATAATAGTGTTATTAATAATTTCAAATACCTGGAGACAGTCAAATACAAAAAGTAAATCATGATTTTATGATTGAATATGAAGCAAATAAAAAATAAATATGATTGTGTATAGAAACTTGGAAGATTTATGAAAAAGTAGAAAACAGTACTAAATAAGGTATATTCTAACTGCAGCTATGTAGCATTCAAGCTACATAATCAGATATTTGTGAACGGTGGTAATTTATGGCTGTTTATTTTAATAACTTATAATGTTTTAAATTTGATTAAAGCCTCCTTTTAAAACAAGTATATATCCTTGAGAAGTAGTATTTGTTACTCCAGCTGAGGTTTTATTTTTAATAAAAATAGAATGCTGAAAAAGGGTAATAATTAAGCCTGCCATTAATGTATTCCCTTCAACAGTAAAGTTAGAGTAAAATCGTATGTATATCTACTCCCAGCTGTTTGAATTTTATTGTTTCCTAGTAAGACATTATAAATCTAATAATTCTAGAAATCTGGATCATTTCCTAGCAATAAATAGCATATGTTAACATATTACTATTTAAATTTCAGAGGTCCATTTAATAACATAAAGTCTGTTTGACAATTTAGGGTTTTAGAATTAGCTTTTATATAAAACTATAAATTTAAAAACAAGGGACAGAAAGAAGAGATCATTGTTACGAACTCTTAAAATAGGAAGTTGTAGTGAGGTACCAACTTCAAAATAGCAACTCCACAAAATGAATTTTTTTAAGCTTAAAAGGCTTAAACTTTCAACTGTTTTCCCAAAACCCAAAGCTATGAACTACATTATTGTTCTGTTCCTTATGAAACACACATTGCCAGCAATTCTGTGTTCTTGAGACCTGTGTTCTGATTTGGGCAGTCTACACAGTAGAGTAGAAAGTCTTAGGATTGCACAAAACCAACACAGAAAATGCTTTTTAAAAGGAGAAAGTATGTTTGGTGTATCAAAATTTATATTTTAGGGTAACTACGAATTCTAGATAAAATATAACTAATTATTAAAGTACATCTTCACAAAATGAATTACTTTTTTGGGGGAATTTCACAACTGAAAAGTGCTGACAGAAGAAGAGTGGACAACCATTGTCACATACCACACACAAAAATCACTCAAAATGGATGAAAGACTTAAATTTAAGACCTGAACCCATAAAATCCCCTAGAATAAGGGGATAAGTCCCTTGACATCAGTCTTGGTGATGATTTTTTTGGATCTGACTCCCTTTGCTCCAGCCCTCACCCTCTCTGTCGGTGCAGGTACATGCATGATGTGTGAGGACCATACCCCTTTCCACCTTGGCAGATGGGACTCTGTTCCTGAGCCAGTTTTCTTGGTGGTCCATGGAATAAGTGTAGAATAAGCATCTAAGAATGGGCATTATTTTGAGATATTTGTACAAGATGGTATGGTAATTCAGTGTCATACAGTATATATTAGAATTTGGAGGTCAGGTCATCACAAATAGTGTTCTTTACCATTTTAGTAGGAAACTGCAACTAGCAAGGCTAATGAATGATGTCATTTCTACCACATACAGGTAATATTAGCTTCAGGCTATTTTGCAGTGTTCAGAGTCAAACTTACTGCAAAAAAACTGGAAGGGATTCATGATGGAGCCATACAGATCACCACAGACTATGAGGTAAAGACTATGAGGATTCATGTCAATGAGGTTTTTCTGATAATTCAGTCTCTTTTTTGTTGTTTTTATAGAAACAACTAAGTTTACTGATAAAGTTATAGTTTACTTGTCTTATACCTTAAAAACTGAACTTTTGAGAATAGTTTACAAAATCTTGGTGTTCATTAGCTCCTAGTTTTCTCATAAAACCCAAAACCTCTTAACTAAAAACAACTTCAGAAAAATGGCTTTGACAGCAATCAGACAACAAAAAGAAATGAAAGGCATCCGAATCGGCAAAGAAGAAGTCAAACTCTCACTCTTTGCAGACGATATGATACTTTATGTGGAAAACCCAAAAGACTCTACCCCAAAACTGCTAGAACTCATATAGGAATTCAGTAAAGTGGCAGGATATAAAATCAA